GCCACCAATCACTAGCTCGCACACGTGTGAGCCACGAAATGCTGGCTCGCACATGTGGTGAGCCTCGAGGGTACTCCGCATACATTTTTGCCTATTTTTGAGTATTTTTGATGTATACGGGACTCATATTTGTACTCCAATGGGTATACGAGTCTAAATTGTTTCCTACCCTCGACGGGAAGTTTCTGGAGTATATTGTGTAGAATATTCTTAAGGATAACCCGGCAACCTCCGACGGGTATATGAGGTTAAACTAATTCCCAAAACTCTCAGGAGTATACGAGTATAAATTGGTCCTCCTAGCTCCAATGCCTTAAGAGTTTAAACTGTGTAGACTCCAGCAAACGTACGAGTATAAACTATATTAACGACGGTCAACGCATTACAGCAAAGGATAACACTGGTCAACGCGCTACAGTAAAGGTTGATGTAGGTCAACGCATCAGTAATTTTGCCAAAATAAGGCAAAGGGATGATTCCAGAGAGTTCAATCACATTCAGATATGAATTTCCGACGAAGATGATCCGTTCAAAGTCAACTCAATGGCACGAGCTAAGTTCAGAAACAATACACCAAATTCAGTTCGAGACTTCAACAATGGTTAGACGATAAACACAGCACCGGAAGTACTTCATCTATTCGATAAAATACTTAGTAGATTGAAGACTTAAGAAGTCAAGAACTGAAGCTAATTACAGGCCCTTTTACATCGACTGAAGGTTAGGCCTATCACATATAAAGCATTTCAGACTCTTCTATAAAAGAAGCGAGACTGAAACACTTTGGAGGGGTTATCTGTAGGCGTCAAAAATTGCCTATAGGTCCCCAAACACAGTTTAAGACGGAGAGAAGATGATGAATGTCATTATCTGAATTAAGGAAGATTATCCGATGCTGATAAACGCATGAAGCAAAACGTCCAAGTCAACAAAGTGACAAAACGCGTGTAAAGTGGGAAAGCAAGCGGAACAAAGGAGACACAAATAGCTAAAAGGGTTAAAAAGACACAACAACAGGCCATGAGCTCGCACGCATGCGAGCCACCACGACTATTTTGGCCTCCCAAACCTCCCAAAACGCGGATTTCGACGTTTTTTAAGGATTCTTTCAATGCAGGACCTCCCTAACTGTTCTGAATCTATCCTTAAGTGCGCCTGGGCGGTTATCAACTGAAGAAGACATCAGAATTCCTATCTTATCAGAAAACATGGTGACAAAAGCCTATAAATAGAAGCCTAAGATCTTCATTGGAGAGGATCTGAAATTTGAGGGCGATGTGCTGTCAAATTGAGCAGTAAACCATGAATTTCAGAGGAAAATTGGCAGATCTTGGCGAACTTTTTCATAAAGAAAAAGCCTTCGAAAGATTTGAGATTCTCTCTCCCTCTTTCCTCCGGATCAAACTTTTTCATAAAGAAAAAGCCTTCGAAAGATTTGAGATTCTCTCTCCCTCTTTCCTCCGGATCAAACTTTGTTTTGATCTCTGAAAAAGCCTTCGAAAGATTTGAGATTCTCTCTCCCTCTTTCCTCCGGATCAAACTTTGTTTTGATCTCTAGAAGAGCCATAATCTCGCTTGGTCGTAATTATCGCTGCTGCAATTGTTTTCTTCGTGAAACAAGAGCATAATTAAACTTGTCAATAGGATCTGATCCGCGACAGTCTATGGACTAACGCGTCTCCAGCACAGGCAAAGATCCCACGTAAAGTAACAGGAGATAAACTTCTACTGCGTTTTGTTGGATAAAGTTGTAATCTTTTATTTTCATTGTGTAAGAAGATCTTATAAAAAGATCGATTTGCCTTTTAGTTTGAACTTGTAATCGATAAACGATATAACAGGTTTGTCAGCAATAGAAATGACAACTTTTGATGAAAACACCATCAATCGGCTCTAAGCCTTGGCAAGCTGACGTGTGAGCCGTTAGCGTTGCCTCTGATGAGCCCTCTTCGTTAGAATTGGCGCGCCTTCATTAAACAACTCCTAGACTGAATAGGAGTCATTGTGATCTGAAATCTCAGCTTCATTAGATGCCATAGGAGCATTAAGAGGGGATGCCTTAGCAATAATTGGGTGAGAGTCACCCCGAGCCTTCTTTGCTGCTAATATTTTCCTGTACTTGCGGGACAAGGAAGGTCTTGAAGAGGATGACGAAAGGTATTCCTCAAACTTGACCTGGTTAAACTCGTACTTAACCTCTTCATCAACCGGGATCTGGATCTTTGGTTATGACACGATAGCCTCGGCAGAGAGGCCGTTGGCTCCCACTATGGTCGTCAACATATTTTCATTGAAAGTTCGTTTATTTGTCGAATCCATTAAACGTTTATCGATTACAATAAATTCAAAAGAGTTTATCTTTTTATAAGACTACTCGCTTACATATAAAACAAAAATTATAACTCTCTTCAAACACATGCAGAGGACGTTTATCACCCACTATTTGTGTGGGATCTTTTCCTATGTCGGGGTTTATCCAAGGACTACCGTGGATTAGATCCGATTGACAGAACGATAGTTCAATGCTATTGCTTCACAAAGTAAACAATCGCAGAAGTGATAATCTCAACCAAGTGAGATTATGACTCTTCTCGAGATCAAAACCAAGTTTGATCTGGAGGAAAGGGGAATAGGCCTCAGATCTCTTGAACTCTCCCACTTTATACTGAAGAACTTCACCAAGATCGTCAACCCTCTCTAAAATTCGTGATTCACTCTTCACAGGGACAGCACCTCCCCTAAATTTTAGATCCCCTACGTATAGGACCCTAGGCTTGTATTTATAGACTTCGGACGTAGTGTTTTCAGATAAGAATTGATAATTTGACATTATCCTCAGTTAATAACCACTTAATCATGTTTAGGGATAGCTTAAAATGGTTAGAGAGGCTCTAGAATGAAAGAATCCCGAGAAAACATTCAAAAAACGTGTTTTCAGCATTTCTGGGTGCAAGCCACCCTATGGTGGCTTGGAACTGTGCGAGCCACCCTATAGTGGCTCGGCCTTGGCCTTGACCAAGCCATTTTGACGCAACTCAGCTGCTAGGGTGGCTTTTACAGACTTTTGGGTTGGACTTGTTACACGCATTTCGTCATTTTGCTGACTTGTACACTTCACCGATTCGCTTCATGCATTTCATTAACTTGGAGGTGGCTGACGAGTGCGCGGACCACTTAGAGGTGGCTAATGAGTGCACGGGCCACTTGAAGGTGGCTGATGAGCGCGCAACCACTTGGAGGTTGTCGGTGAGCGCGCGGGATATTTGGAGGTGGTCGGTGAGCACGCAGGTCACTTGGAGGTGGCCGGTGAGCACGCGGGCCACTTGGAGGTGGCCGGTGAGCATGAGGGTTACTTGGAGGTGGCCGGTGAGCGCGCGGACCACTTGGAGGTGGCTGCTGAGCGTACGTTCCCTTTCTTTGCTATTCTGATGGCTTGTTGCTATGTCATCAACTGTTCGCCACTTTGTTTTTTCCACGGCTCATCTTCACATCGTCTGACGGTTCATCGCTCGATGACTCATTGTCTCAAGCTGTGTTCGGGGACCTATAGGTAATTTTTTACGCCTACATAGTGCACTTACTTTCTTCTGGATTCAGCTTCTCAATTATTCTCTTCATCCAAACAGCTTGACTAGCACAAGTAGCGGCAACTACGAACTTTGCTTCTATGGTTGAAAGTGTGACTATAGTTTTCTTTCTTGAAGACCAGGCAAGAGCTCCATACCCCAAAATGAAAACGAAGCCTGATGTAGTTTTCATGTCTTCTATATCTCCTACATAGTTACTATCTACATATGCAATCAGACCTTCACGCCCTCTCTTCTTGTAGAAAACCCCAAGTCCAATTGTTCCTTTAAAGTACCTTAGTATTCTCTTAGCTGCCATCAAATGCAACTCAGTTGGTTTGGCCATGTACCTACTAATTAAACTTACTGCAAACATGAAATCTGGCCTTGTAGCTGTTATGTACATGAGGCATCCCACCATCTGCTTAAACTGAGTCTCATCAACACGAGCCCCGTTCTCATCTTTAAAACTCTTACAACCTGGAAAAATGGGATTATGAACTGAATTGTTGTTCTCCATCCTAAACCTCTTCAACACCTCCAAAGCATACTTCCTCTGACAAATATAAATCCCATCTGATCTCTGCAAAACTTCTATGCCAAGAAAAAAACTCATTCTCCCCAAATCAGTCACATCAAACTCCCTCAACATGGAATTCTTAAACTCAGCAAACATCAATTTCATCATTGTCAGTAAATATTAAATCATCAACATATAAACCGAGAATGAGAATCTTACCTCTTTTATTTGTTTTAATGAACAAAGTATGCTCACTATAACACTTCTCAAACCCTTCACTCATGAAATGTGCTTCAATATGACTGAACCAAGCTCGTGTGGCTTATTTCAGTCCTTACAAAGCTTTTTTCAACCTGTAAACCTTTTGAGGACTGTTTTTCAGCTCATAACCCTTCGACTGCTCCACATACACTTCTTCATTAACGCCTCATTTGGTACGCGGGAATGGGGTAGAATGGAATGAAAATTCTCACTTCTCATTCCTCTATACCAAACATAACCATTTTTTAGAAGTTAGAATGCCAATTCCAGGGTATGCTCATTCCCACTTTTATGAGAATAAACATTCCAAGTGAATTGATGAGGAATAGTAATTCCCATTCAAGTGGGAATCAAATTAGTTACGTAATTTCCAATTACACCCCATTGATAACAAAAGTAAATCTAAAAATCTTGTCTCATTGTGCAACATAACCAGATTAATAACATGGATATGTATGAAAAATTGATTAAGATGTTTTTCCTTAGGCTTGCATATATATGGAAGTGGATTCTAGGATAGAAACACGAAATACTACCTATTTTTATAAAGTTTATTTTTAAAAAAAAAATTATTTAATTATTATCATTAATGTTTATTTTTATCTTTTTAAAAATATATTGTGTTGTAAAGGCATTATTAGAAAATAAGATTTTATTCTCACTTGTGAACTAGTGATACCAAACATGCGAATCGGAATGAGATTTCCATTCTAGCTTCATTCTACATACACACCCAAACAAGAGAATGAGAATGGGCATTCCATTCCCACATACATTCCATTCCATACATTCTTCCATTCCATTCTCATTTGAGTCCATTCCTGCGTACCAAACGAGGAGTAAATTCCACATGCAAGAAGGTAGATTTGACATCAAGTTGATAGAGAGTCCACCCCTTTTGAGTTGCTAGAGCCACGATCATTCTCACTATGTCCATTCTCACAACTGGTGCAAATACTTCTGTGTATTCTATCCCTTGCTATTGCACATACCCCTTTTCCACCAAACGAGCCTTCAACTTGTCCACTTCTCCATTTCCTTTGAGTTTAGTTTTATAAACCCACTTCACTCCTATCTTCTTTGCACCTTTAGGGAGATCAGCGAGTTCCTATGTGTTGTTCTTCTCTATAGGTTGCATCTCCATGTCCATAGTTATCCTCCATTTGTCATGCTTCACTGCCTCCTCAAAATGCACTAGATCTGAAACAAACAGAGCCAACTGGATATTTGCATCTCCTTCTTTCGACTCCTCCAAACGTCCTTCCCCAGTTACATAATCTTTCATCCACCTTGGAGGCTCACTGTTTCTTTCTTCATTAGAACTAGATGTTTCTCCTCCAGTTTCCTCATTTTGGGGACTACCGATCGGTTCAGCGACTCCTCCTTCCCTGCTCACATTTTCTGCTTTATTATCTTCTTCATCATCTCATTTCAAATAAGCCAATATGTCCTCTTCATAACTTCTATCCCAACTCTACGATTTATCTTCCTCAAACACTACATCTTTATTAACAACAATCTTCCTTGCAACTGTATCATAGAGTCTATATGCCTTAGACTCTTCACTTATTCCTAAGAACACACAAGCAAATATCTTTGCATCTAGCTTTTTCCTTCTCACATTTGGAACATGCACATGTGCCACACATCCAAAAACTCTAAAGTATTCAACCGAGAGTCTTCTTCCACTCCAGGCTTCCTCAGGTGTTTGATTCTTTACCGCTAATGTCAGACTCCGATTCAGAATATGTATTGTCTAGTTTACTGCCTACAGCCAAAAAGTCTTCATAATCTTCCTTTCAAAAAGCATGCATCGAACCATGTGTTGGCCCTTTTGTTTTGATGATATTTTAACAAATAATTTATGACTAATATTGTTTGTCTAGTGTTTGTGTTTTCTTATTTATTCTAGACAAATAATATATCGGAGGTTGGATGGAGTTGCGCCATAACAATCATATCAAATAGAGGTTGGCGAAAATATTAGAGTGAAGCCAATACATTTCAAGTCAAGATCTAAGATTAAGCTTCATCCGTAAAGTTTACCAAGACGAGCTCATTGAAGATCTATCAAGCTTGGGTAATTTAGTTTTAGATTTATATTATGAGTGTTTAATACTTCAAGCTCAATCATATACACACATACACGTTTTGATTTTATAGCTTTAAAGTTTATATATGAAACTAATATACATTCTCATATACGTATATACTAGTTTCATACGTACATGTGTTTGTGAATTATAGACTTAACAATATTTTTTACATCTTCCAAAAGTCTATAAATTCATTTATAAGTTTTTTGAACTTGTTTATAAAGATTACATCAATATCAAGATTTAACAATTCAATAAAATCATGTTTATTTACAAAATTATATGTTTATGGATTGAAGACTTGTTTACACTATTTTCATATCTTGTATAAGTCTATAAATCAATTGAAAATATTTCAAGAGGTTGTTTAAGTTATTTTTGTAACATGTTTATTTTCATGTTTACAAGCATTTTCTAAAATTTTATATTTTTTGGAATCCGTTTGCTATTTTTAATTCAAGTTTAAAAATCATCATTTCTGTATTAAACCTGTGTATCTGAAATATCCGTTCGCGGTTGGCCGGATTGGTTGCGGCGGTCGACCACCCAAAGTCTAGAGACTTTGCTCTGTTCTTTAGCCTTTCGCAGTCGATCGGCCATGGCTCTGCGGTCGACCGCCAATGTTACCTTTGCATAGTAATGGCTAGTTTCTAGCTTTTGTTTTTAATAGAATTTTGGGGTTTTCTTGGGTTGTTTTCTTCTATCCTATATATACCCAATTTTTATCATTCTCACCTACCCAAGAGAGTTTTTAAATAAGTTTTACAAGGGTTTAAGTTTTGTTTAAAAGTGTTTAAAGTTTGTTTATAAGTTTGTGAAGAAATTTTCACAAGAGCAAGAAGAGATCATCCATTCCTTGTTTGGGCTTCAACTTCACCTCTCCTACTCTTTTTATATAGAGAAGTTTTTCTTAAACTCAATTCTAGCAATTTGCATGTTTGATCTTAATTTTCATAAGCTAGATTTCAATTGAGTTTATATTTGTTTTATCTCTTTGTTACACACACCCACATTGAGCTTTTAGTATTTTCATACATAGTATATTTAGGGTTGTAAGATTGTAACTAAGAGTGTGAGCTTTCACTTAGTTCTCATCCTTGTACTAGAGAACAAAATTTGTATTTGAGCCTACATTATGTAGATCACTTTGTAATATACCTATACACCGAGAGGAGTGTGTGGTGAGAGATGGGGTCGTCCCAAGAGGAGTGACATCGGTAGTAAAGCCTAGGGAGAGGTTGTAAATCCGAGCACTTAAGAGAGACACAGGCTAGAGACCAACACGTAGAGGGTGTAGAGTGTGATTACAAGAGCGTTGATTGTAAAGTTTTCGGTGAGCTAGAAAACCGAGTGTGAGATGTAAACATTATTTGGGTGAGCGTTGAAAATCCAGTTGTGTAGTGGATTTCTCCCCGGGATTAGGAAGCGGAGACGTAGGGTGGAAGGTCTGAACTCCGTGATCATATTGCTTATTTGAGTTTGCATTGGCGTACGCGTTTTGTTCATCTTTTTTAGCCATTGCCTCTTTGTTTATATTGTCCACTATTTTGTTTACCCTTGTTTATATTGTTTATCCTTGCTAATAATTCATTACATATCTTATTTGCTAGGATATTCGTTAGTAAGTTTTAATTGGCATTAAATCGGATTAGATTAGCATAAATCCTATTCACCCACCTCTAGGGTTCTTTCCTAGTGACATTAGGGTCTAACACCATGATCATCACAGTTCGATTTTTCCTTTCCGCTACTCTGTTCTCTAGTGGAGTATACGCTGCAGTCAATTGCCTCTTGATGCCATGCTCTGTGCAGAACTCATTGAACTCAAGTGATGTGAACTCACCTCCTCGATCTGTTCTCAAACATTTAATATATCCTCCAACTTCTTTCTTAACACAACTCTTAAAACGTTTGGACATGATTAATGCTTCAAATTTCTCTACCAAAAAATAAGTCCATGCTTTTCTAGTAAAGAGATAATCATATTTTATTACAATTTTATACCCTTATTATCTATTTTATATGAATAAATATGTCACTAATAATTGTTTTTATCTTTTAATTGCAGGTTAATAAAAAATAAATCTCAAACTCCCATCTCTCAACAAAGGCCCCTTGATTTAATGAAGAAATGCCAAAGCCCAAAGCCTAAAAAAAAGAAATGCCAAATTGTCCAAAAGCCCAAAGCTAAAAGAAGAAAAATGCCAAAAGCCAAAAGCCCAAGCCCAAAAGCCAAAAAGAAGAAGAAGCTACAGGCTAAAAAAGCATAAAACTTCACATCGATGCTAGCATCGATGGGGGCATCGATGCCAGCATCGATGCCTGTATCGATGCCAGCATCGATACTCCTATCGATGCTGGTATCGATACCTCTAGCATTCTGTTACGAATCTAAGGCTGAATTTTTTTTGTTTTTGGATAAGATTTCAATCCAATGACTCTCATTCACTGATGTTTACTATAAATAGGAGTAGAGAGTGAGGGGTTAGAGGGGTGAAAAATTTTGTAACTCTATTTGGTGTAATAATCCATTTTTTTTAGTAGCAAATCAATAGATTAAATGGAGTAAACATGCAAGGTCTTATATAGGAGGTCCACTTGATATGGAATTGAAAAAAAAAAACAAATTTCCTTAAGGCCATTTGTGTGAAGATTAACCTAGCAAGACCATGTATGCAAACTCCATCTTCTGCAGGATCTGTTGCATGATTTGTGATTCTTATTATTATTATTTTAATTATCTTGTATTAATATTTTAGCCTACACCCTTATCTTCTTGTTTTGGGTTTTTCCCCTCTTTCTCATTATTTT